ACATAATCCACCAGAGTGGAAGGTTTGCCCATAAAATGTGGTTTCATACCACCAAAGACCTAGATGAAAATAAGTCGTCTGAATACAGAACAAACTGCACAAGATACTGGGTGCCTTCAGCTTCCATTGACATTACCGGCAAGTGAGAACATGTTAATGTGCTCAGGATCCTCACAGCACTATGCAGGATCAGGCCTTTTGAAACTGGCTATTCATCACATTTAAATTGAATGTAATTGTCAGGGCTGAATAGCTAATTAGATTATTCTCTGTCTCTCTCAGTGAGAAAAGTGGAAGTGAGAAAGCGTAGTTAGATTACCACCAGGCCTCAGGAAAAAAAAAAAAGGCCGTTGCATAACTATTCATAAATTAGCAGGAAGAATGCAGGAATGTCTTGATTTAAACACCAATTGTTTTCTGTTTCTCTTAAACTCATGGAAATATTCTCCTAGTAAAACCACCTTTTCAGTTAATAGTACTCCTGTTTTAATACAGCTTAGCATCCCCCAGCAGCTAGACCTAGCAAGTCAAAACTTGCACATGGCTGACTCCTACCTCTCACCCTGACTTGATTTTTTGATTTTGAGCTTGGGAGTCCATGAAAGGGTTCCCAAAGGATTCCCAAGTTTATCTCATCAGCTTCTTCGGCTCTGCTCTCATGAAAGCCCAAGTGCTACTGACAGAGTCACTAGGGCTTATACAGCCCAGCTACCTGATAACGGTTTCAGCCCAAGACTCAAGACGGATCACCTGCTAGCCAACCCATAAAACAACTTGGTTTTCAACCCCACTGGCTGCAGTAGGTAACTCATGCCTTCAAGCCCAGCTACAAGCCCGCTTGTTTTCTCTCTCCCCTCCCCAAAAGGTCACCCTGAGAGAGACAGGAGACAAGAAAGTAGAAATGGCTGAGCTGGTCTTTTGCTTCGAAACCCACAAAAGTACTCTGAGAGGATGAGGAGACATTAGTAACATCTAAGGCTCCGTGGAAATACATATTTTTCCCCTAATATTTTGTAGTTAGTATACTTTTCACTGTCTTGCGCTAAGTAGGGTACCGGGAAGAACTCGCCCTCCATCTCAAAGTAGCCAGACTTCTAACTTAGAAAACTGGCATATTCACTTACGTTATGCATTATGACTGAAGCCCTTGCCTACAATGCTACCAACGCTCTGATTGCATAGACTACCAATTACCTCATCCATTTCTTTTGATTACAAACTAATACCAAAGCAGAGACTGTACCCTTAAATGCAGTAGGAGGTACAAGTGAAGAAGAGAACCATCTCATTGCCTGTGCAGTTTCCTGAGCACCCAGACTAACCATAAGGCCACTCATTGAAAAGTAAGTTCCTTGGCACACATTACAGATCAAAAACTAAACCATATTGGGCTGTATGAAGAACAGCACAAAGACATCTGCACATTAATCCCAGCTGCAGTAACAGTTACAAATCTATTTGTCTTTGGTCACTGTCAAGGTAGAATATACGTCCAGCTACTCCAAACCAGCTGTACATTTCAGGTGAGGGACTGTATGGCACGTTTACAATCCAATTGCGAGAGACGCTTCCAAGTAATTACTTGAGACATTTCCATGCCAATATAATGGTAAAAAGCTCCTAAATTACATAATCGTGAGGGGTTTTTTTCTCACCAGTTATTTGCTGCAAAGCCAGGGGGGAGGTGTACGAGTGAAGCTTGTACTGAAACCAAGAACCTAGCTGTGGAGGTCTTCATATCCCTGAAGAAGTGGTCTTGCTAATGTGCTTGTAAGTCACACGGTCATACCATGGTTGAGAATTTAAGGATTTTACCCACAAACTAAAAAAAGAACCGCTCCCTTGAAAGGACTAACGATAACTGGGCTGTTTAAGTTTTAATATTAAACTTTATTCTTTAATAATGAGACGTGATGTTCAGTGTTACAACTATTTTCAGACAATGGTTTAATTAAACATTTAATGAATGCATCTCATTTCTTTGCACGAGCTTCACTCTAAACCACCAAGCTAATAATGTAAACATCACTGTTTGATTATTAAAATAATTGCTCTCACAAACACCGACCTCCTGGCAAACAAAATGGCCGGCACCTTGCATACAATGCACCCACAGTGCAGGGGTCCAATTTTAGCGTAAAACCCAATTTACAGTTGACCATCAGCTTTTAAACAAAATCCTAGGCAAATGGTTTTAAAGACAGTGGTATTTTCACCAAATTCCTGGAGATTTGATTCAACTAATCAAGCAAATTTATAAAAACATCATTCATTTAAACAAACGACTGCCTTTAGGATTTTCCCCCAAGCAGAGATGCAGCAGCAGCTTCAGGACGTTTCCTCAAAGAAACTCTGGTGTCAGGATCAGATTAACCAAACCCGTGACCTTCCTTTAAGCCAAAGTCCTGTAGCTGTGGACGATTTGTATCCAGCTAATGGAGTTCTTCTAGGAGTTAGTTGCTTTGGAAAGGACTATACAGGAAAAAATATAGATGGACATTTCTCCCCCCCTCCCCCCCAGCTTTATAACCAAAGAATTGAGTATTTTTGCAAAATGGTGACAAATTTTCAAGACTCCAAGTAAAAAAACCTTAGTGAAATGAGTTGTCAAAACATTTTGAAAATCTGTCAACAGCTCTAATTCTTAGAAACCATGATTCGGTGATGCTTGAAATATTGTCTTGTCCGTGCTGAAGCAGCTAAACCACGTTCCTCGCTGCTTCAGCTTAGCTTTTTTTCTTTGTGGAAAGTTACCGGTATGCTTTCATATCTATTATGTGCTTCTTCAAGCTAATCGGCATCCCACCAGCGTCATCCTTTCATCGGCAGGACATCTCCAGAAAGGTCACCACAGGCTCCAGAGTCAGTCGGCTTCTACTGCTTGGAAAAGATTCGGTCCTGTCACCCAAGGAAACAGCCAATTTTTCTGTCTCCACCTATGGTCCAAGCCATCACCCAAGAGGGGACAATGCATGGCATGGTGAGAATATGAGTTACACAAACTTTTCTAACCATCTTCCCACCAAAAACTTCACTGGCCTTTCACAGTAGGTGAAATTGCTGAGAACTCCAGAGAACTGGACCCTCAATTTTTTAATTTTTTCAACAGAAAAAAAAAAAAAAAGCAACAGTTTTATCTCCCCTGCAAACGCAAAAATACCAGGAATCCAAACCCCAATATCCAACTGCAGCAACATAATTCCCATGTATTCAGGTAAATTAGCTCGGATTTACAGCATCTGATACAGTAGATCGCATGTAATCATTCCTGGATTACCGGAGTGGAAAATATTTCTAACTATAGCCATTGGCGCTAAATGGTCCATATCTGACCTATTATATTAAGCCCTTGACTATCCATGGGAGACTTCCCGCTTGTTTTGATGGGCTTTTGATTAGGTCTGATATACTTCCCCCCCCCCCCCTTTTTTTTTGCTTCTTTTGTCCTTGAGATCTGCTATTACTTCCCACAGCTATTGGGTTTGTGATTTATTGGTTCAATTATTTTATTTTTATTTGGTTTTAGTATTTATAATGGGACACAACTGACACTTTGAAATAGGAGCCACTTTTTTTCTTAAGGGTTGCACGTGGTATTGGTTGCCTTGAGCACAACAGGAGATTGGAAATCTTCTTTTGATAGTTCTGGACACTTTCCTTCCACCTCTACAGAACAGAATGCTTTAGCACAAAAGCAATAATGGCAAAAAGCAAAGTTGAAACATGTTAGTGGCGATCAAAACATGATATTTGAGTACTTTGTAAACTAAGTTGTTGTGTTTTATCTGTGGGCTTTTCCTAGGAAGCATAGGTGTAAATCCAAGGCATTTTCTTCACCTGGTGAGTACAAACAGTCTGCTAGGAAGGGAGGAAATTCTCCTGTTGCAGATGTGGCCAGAAGATAACTGCCAGTAACATGAAATCTCAGGGCAGAGCAAAATCTCTCAGATCCAAAATAAGAAATAAATGGGTGAAGAACAGCTATGGAGAAGTCCTAGTGATGGTAAATATCTATTTGCTAAAAGGCATCAAGTAGCTACCTTGAGGCAGCAAGGATTTTGCTGTACAAAAAATATAAAACCTAGGTTAAAAAACCCACATAAACCAGGGAACAAACTCCTGTGAGACTGGCACTGGCAGTTGCAAACTGCGGGGAGTATTTGCTCTTCCAAGCCCAGATCTTTCCTACACGTGTTACCATCCCCTGCACACACGTTTGCAGGACTGGCATCACTCCCATCCTCTTTGCAATGCTTTATCGGTGTGGATTCTCTTTTTTTTTTTTTTAAATATGAACGTTATTATTTACTACAAGTTTCTCAGGAAAGGACTGCAGTTCTTGCTGCAGCCTAATGGATAAGAAAGGATATAGTGTTTGTTCCAAGCCAAACAGCGAAGAAAGAATCCACCGGCTTGGGAAAAAAACCAAAAAAAATCACCTTTCAGACGCTAGCTAAGATTGAATGGGCATTTGGCACCGAACCCAAAATTTATCATTTTCTTGGGTCTAACTTTGTGCAGCCCGGAGACTGGAGTCAGATGAGAAACACCAACGGGCGCACTTAGAAACAGCTGAAATTAATTAATTAGCGCTCCACCGACCACCACCAGCTCCCTCACAAACCACTTCTCTGGGCGCCGGCCACGGAGAAGAAGGTTTTAAAGCTACAAAAAAAAACCCCAAAACCAAAAAACCAACAACCCTCCGCAACGGCAAGGCGCATCGCACACATGATGGAGAAGGGGGAGCAGCCTGCCTTTGCCGTGTCCCCCCATTCCCGGGCGTACGAGGGGCGGGCTGGGCAAGGCAGGGGAAGGCAAGGCAGGGCAGGGCAAGGCAGGGCAAGGCAAGGCAGGGCCGCTCCGCCCCGTCCCTCCCCCGGGCCGGGCCCGGCGGCACCCCCGGGGGCGCGGCACCG